CCCTTTTGGGGTATACAGTTGATTGGCATTAACTACATTTATCATGTTGTGCAATCATCACCACTATCCATTTCTAGAAATTTTCATCTTCTGCCGCTGAAACAAGAACTACCCATTCTCCACCCACCCCTGGCAATTGCCATTCTACTGTCTATCTTTATGAATTTGCCTACTATCAGTACTCCATATAAAAAAAAATCCTACAATACTTGTCCTTTTGTGTCTGGCTCATTTTACTTAGCATAATGTCCTCAAGCTTCATCCATGTGGAGCATATGTCAGAACTTAATTCCTTTTTAGGGCTGAATAATATTCTATTGTATGGAAATGTCCCATTTTGTTTATCCATTCGCCTGTTGATGGACACTTGGATTATTTCACCTTTTAGTTATTGTGAACAATGCTACTATGAACATTGGTGTACACATATCTGTGCTACTATGAACATTGGTGTGCTAATATCTGAGTCCCTACAAATTTGATTTTTAACAAAAATCTCATGCCTTAACACATACATCATGTGTGATGAGTATGTAAACCTTCTTGAGAGACTTTCCCTTTGACAGGTTAAATCTCCAAAGATGCCTGGCCAGTATGGTTCAGTGGTTGAGTGTCATGAACCAAAAGGTCATGGTTTGATTCCCAGTCAGGGAACATGCCCGGGTTGTGGGCTTAATCCCAAGTAGGGGGCGTGTAGGAGGCAGCTGATCAGTGTTCCTCTCTCATTGGTGCTCCTAACTCTCTAGCCCTCTCTGTCTCTCTCTAAAATAAATAATAAAAAAATATTTTAAAAATTTCCAAAGACTTTATAAAGAATTCATACAAATGAAATATTTTTATAATTGTGAAGTACAGATAGAAAATAGGCTTAAACCAGGAGAGAGACTTAACACAGAGGAAATACAGGTGCAGCAGCTTGATGACCAGATATAAATATTAAATACCACAACCACCGTAACACATCCTGCATTTCTTCTTTTATAGATATTTGTCCTAGTTCCCAGGAACTGAACATAAACTTGGGAGGCTGGGTTAGTTAGAGTGCTCTTAGCATGATACTTAACTTTAGTGAAGATTATTTTGTTTAATTTTTTTTTCTCAATGTCTCCCCCTTCACAATACAGACCAGGCAAAGAGCCTGAGCTGAGGTGTATATGGGGTGAGTTTACTCTGCCTCCTATTTCTGTACAGTCAGTGTAAGCACACAGCCTGTGGTAAGCACCAGGAGGCCTGTTTAATATTTATTTAAACTTCTCAAACTTATTCTGTAGGTTAAAATAAACTGTTCGTTTTCTTATTTGAAAGTGGACTTTGCATTTTTAAATCTATTTATAAATTCACATAGCTGCTATCCCTGGCCCCTAGGAACTTTGAAAGAGATTTTGTTTTGCTTTCAAATACTGTTAAGGTGTGTGTGTGTGTGTGTGTGTGTGTGTGTGTGTGTGTGTGTGTGTGTGTATTCCCCACAACCTGAGTGGTTTTCTATAAACACAGCGAGCACATTCACTCGTAAGGTGAGACAAGACAGATAAAACAGATGGTTAGTTGTGCATCAGCCCACATGACACCAAAGGTGCTGCTAATTTTGAGAACCATGCAGATGAGATGTCAGTGGAGCAAGTATGTAGCTCAAGCAAGCTGTTTAACTGTAAGCCCCTAGCACTACTCCTGCTAGCTATGGGCTGGAACTGTTGCTAGGTAACCATTTTGAAATGGACACCTAGCGACTATTAACTGCCATCTTCCTTTTCTGTTCTATCATTCCATGAAGGGAGTTGCAGTTTCTAAATTCAATCTAACATCAAAAGTCGGGGATGGGGGGTGGTGGTGAGGGGGGAGATATCTTAGACTATTAGTGCCTACTAATGGAAATACTTAAAAGAAAAGCAACATGCCTTCTAACAGGCCACTCATGAATAACTACTTTCTTAACATTTCCATTGTTTTAGGTCAATGGAATTTACTTCACAAACCAACATGTTAGTGTTCTTATTTTGGGTTGCTTTACATTTTTAAAGATTATACTTTTTGGAATTTCTCCCAAAATTCAGTAAGTGTGTACTTTAGATATAAAGGAAATAAAAGCTAAATTTATACTGTTTAGCTCATTTAAATAAGTCTTTTTGTGAGGATACAAGTTATGCTATTGAATAATTATCATTCCATGGAAAGGCATAATCTTTTTAGGAACAAAAGCCCACATTTTGGGGGGCATATCTCTCATTGGCTAGAATTAGGTGGTTAAGAAAGTTAAGTAACCCCATTGTGGGGGGGGGGTGGTAATTGAAGAATTGGTGGAGGGGTAAAAGGCAGTGAGGAACATATACAAGTAAATTCTATATTAGTTGGGATTAGATTCATTCGTGACAGAAAAGTCCAAATAAGAGCGAGGTAAGCCCGGCCGGTGTGGCTCAGTGGTTGGTTGAACAGTGACCTATGAACCAGGACGTCAGGTTTGATTCCCAGTCAGGGCACATTTCTGGGTTGCAGGGTTGATTCCTAGTAGGGGGCCTGCAGGAGGCCGCCAATTGATGATTCTCTCTCATCATAGATGTTTCTATCTCTCTCTCCCTCTCTCTTCCTCTCTCTGAAATAAAAGAATTTTATTCTTTTAATAAAAGAGTGGTTAAGGCAGTAGTTTCTTTTTTTTTTCATGCAAATTCAACTGGTGTAGTGGCTTCACAATCATAAGAAGACAGGCAGCTCCACCCACACAGAGCGTCCTATCTACCCAGCAGGAAGGAGGAAAGTGAGAAGGACACACCCCTCTGCTTAAGGACACTTCCTGGAAGTACCACATCTCACTTCCCGCTAGAGCAGTGTCTCTGTGCAGTTTCTTCTGCCTGCAGTCTGACAGACTCCACTCCGTTCCAGTTGAGGTCAACACTTTCCCCAGTGAGGCTGTTTCATGCATTTGTAATTCACATAGTTTTGTCACATTCTGGGATCCCTCAACCTCCTAAATGATTTCTAAATTTGTACACATTAGGCTCACTCATTATGCTACAACATTCTATGGGTTTTGTCACATATTGTTTAAAACATCAATAAACTGTATCATTGTTATATTGCTTTAATAAATTATGTATAATAATAAAAGCATAATATACTAATTAGACCGAACAGCCGAATGACCTTCCAGATGTCATTCCAGACGTCCTTCCAGACGAAGCCGCCGAGGCGGAGTGCCGGGGTTCATGTCCCAGCATCAAGAAGGGTTCAGAAATCTGGAAAAGGGGCTGTGCGTAGATGACATAGAAATCCGGGGACTAATAAAGAGTCCGGAGATGAGTTATAATTTTGAAAGGCACTGGGGGTCAGAGGACCTTCAGCTAAAGGAACTGAAGACTACCTCCTTGTCTAGGATCCTTGCTTTTATTAACACAATTTGTCCTAAGGCAAGGTGGAGATAACACACTTCAAAGGTTAAGGTTTCAAAGGGTACAGAGTCCATTGTCAGAATGGGGGAATAGCCTACGGCTGATCAGGTGTTTGGCCAGTAGGAGGCAATAACATGTAGATTAAGATGCCTTTTAGCTGTCTGGCAGCCACAATCAGTTTCCTATTCAGGTTTGGGGAAATGCCTTTAGCCATTCCCAGACGGTGACTACATGTGTGACTCAATCCTGTTGAGTCCCCAAGTTTCATCAACCTTTTGATGAAACTCTTGAAATTATGACATGCTGGAATTGGTCTACGGCAGCGGGGGCCAAGGCAGAGGAGGTTAGGGGCAATCAGGCAGGCAGGAGAGCAATTAGGGGTGATCAGGCAGGCAGAGGCGGTTAGGGGCAATCAGGCAGGCAGATGAGTGGTTAGGGTGATCAGGCAGGCAGGCAGAGTGGTTAGGGGTGATCAGGCAGGCAGGCAAGCCAGCGATTAGGAGCCAGCATCCCAGATTGCGAGAGGGATGTCTGACTGCTGGTTTAGGCCCAATCCCCCTGAGGGGTCCTGGATTGCGAGAGGGTGCAGGCTGGGCTGAGGTCCCACCCCCACCCCATGCACGAATTTCGTGCACTGAGCCTCTAGTATTTAATAATTTAGTATATTAATATATATTTAATAGAAACAACAGCACATAATTTGCTTAGGGTTGCAAGCTGTTAAATTGCAGAGCTAGGATTCAAACCCTGATGAATGGATCTGCAAAGCCCTCTTTCCTTCTACCTCGCTATTTTCTTTTTTAAGAATCTTAACCTCTGAGTCTTCTCACTTTATAGGAAGAATTTTAGATTTCCTGTGTGGGGTCACTTGCTTTTTCCCATGTATTGGCACAGCACTTCCTAGATATCAGTTCAAGCTTAAAGAGTGGATCTGAAAGGGGTTTTTTTTTAGAATTGCCAACTCCATTGGATGAAAATGGCACATTGACAACTGATTTGATAATCTATATATATAAAAGCCTATGACCGGTCGCTATGACGTGCACTGACCACCAGGGGGCAGACAATCAATGCAGGAGCTGCCCCCTGGTGCTCGGTGTGCTCCCACAGCTGGAGCACTGCTCAGCTGACTGACGGGCACCACACACCAGGCTCATGACTGGCGAGCACAGCTGCTGCAGTGTGAGCCTCTCCCACGGCACAAGCCTCTCCCGCCTCCATAGCAGCGTGCTACCAAGTGGTGGCAGGTGTCAGGCGCAGCAGGGCTGGGATGAGCAGGAGCTGTGTGGCGCCCGGCCCCACTACTACATCCCTCTGCGGACATTGGACTGCTGGTTTTGGCCCCAAGGGGTCCCGGATTGCGAGAGGGAGCAGGCCAGGGTTATGGACCCCATCGGTGCATGAATTCATGCACCAGGCCTCTAGTAGATCAATAAAGGGCACAGACTTGTCAAAGTGGTGGATAGGGCATCACTATACAAGCCCATCCCATCACCCACATTTCTTCCCCCTTGGATCAGGCAGCACCTATTTGCAATCTCTGCTACTTTCAGCTGCCCAATAACTAGCTGATACTCCCACCCATCCATCCCTCACCACCTCATTACCCTGCCCTCTCACCTCGGAGTTTACAATGTACTTACTGGGGTTTCTCCCCTTACTTCTGCTGGTGATGGCTGATGGCTGTGGAGGCTAAAGCAAGATGGAACTTGTGCTGTGGCAGAGGAAGGAAATGAGCATTATGTCAAAAGGCTGCCATTTGCAGAAGAAAATAACTGACTTTTTCATAGAAACTCACAGCTAAAATTCAAAATCAGATCACTGTTTTTCCCTTCCCTGATCTGCGACTCCAGTGCATTCTATGGCAGAGACCACTGTCTTCTCTAATCGATCCTTCCCTTCTTCCTTGGTAACAGAATTATTGATTGACACAAGGCTCAGAGCCATCCAGAATACTGTCTTCCAGACTCCCTGGAAAACTACTCTAGTTGATAAATTGCCTCCCACTGGGTACAGGTTAACAACAATTCAGACACTGCTATCCATGTGTATTGAACAATCAAATAAATGAATGGTGGATGGTGGGAGCCAGGTTTCTCACTCTTGGAGCAGGGGGAAGTGGCTAGAGTGATCCATGTGGTAATGGATTAGAGTTGGAGACATTTGTATGAACTCATGCTTTGCTTAATATGGATACCAATGGTTATATATAAAAATGTTTATGCACATATGTAAATACCTGGGTTAGTTCCTTTCTCTTTCAGCTGAGAAGCAAAACCACCCCAGTAACAAGGGACATACCTATCACCCAGATCTTGATTTCTAATACCACTCTCCAATAAAAGGAACCAGGGTTTCTTAGAGAAATGGCTGATTTCTAGGCCTTGGGCAGGAAAAATGCAAAATAAGGCTGGAGCATTTTATAAATCCAGACATTAAGGAAGTGCTAAAAAAAAAAAAAATCCACAACAAAGGAGTATGTTAAAGGACAAGGAACAAACAAAAAGAGTTTCCAGTGACCAAAGCTGGAAAAATTTGAGCAAGAAAACAAAGAAGGATTTATTGGATTACTGTATAAGCCAAAGTATATTTTTGAAATCCTTAAACTTATACTGATATAAATGACTGAATAGATAAGAACTTCAAATAACCTATGTAGATATCTGCCCTCAAGAAGGTGAGCCACAATTCCCTACTCCTTATGTGTGAGAAGTACATAGTGACTTCCTTCTAAAGATGGGGAGGGGAAGAGAAGGCAGTCATCCTATATAATAAAAGGCTTATATGCAAATCGAACCAATGGCAGAACTACCGGTTGCTATGATGAAAACTGACCCCCAGGGGACAGATGCTCAATGCAGAAGCTGCCCCCTGGTGGTCAGTGTGCTCCCACAGGGGGAGCGCCACTCAGCCAGAAGCCAGGCTCATGGCTGGCGAGCTCAGCAGCGGTGGTGGGAGCCTCTCCCGCCTCCACGGCAGCACTAAGGATGTCTGACTAACGGCTTAGGACTAAGCGGTTAGTCGGACATCCCCCAAGGGCTCCCGGACTGCGAGAGGGCGGAGGCTGGGCTGAGGGCCCCCCCCACCCGAGTGCACGAATCTCGTGCACTGGGCCTCTACTTGTAAAATAAGTGACAGTGGAGAAATCTGACACTTATTGCCTCAGCCATGTGATCAAGGCTAGCATCAACAATGCTAAGTCATGTTGAGTGTATACATATATCACATCCTTTGACATGATGTGATGAAAATGGTGTTCTATCTCTGTGGTCTTCCTCTCAAGAACACTTAACCCCAGTCTAATGACCAAAACATTCATCAAATCCGAATTAAGGGACTTTCTACAAAATACCTGATGAGTGCTCCTCAGCACTGTTAAGTTCATTGAAATGAAAGTCTGAGAACCTGTCACAGTCCCGCAGACCCTTAGAAGACATGATGATTGTAATGTATCCAGGATGGGATCTTGGGATAGAAAAAGGACATTCGGTAAAAACTAAGGAAATATGAATGATACGGATGTTAGTTAATAATAATGCATCAACATCAATACATTATTGTGTCATTATATTGATTGTAACTAATATGCTAATGTAAGATGCTAATAATAGGGGAGACTGAGTATCTACACTAATAAAAGAGAAACATGGTAATTGGCGTACGACCGCTACCCTTCCCATTGGCTAATCAGGGAGATATGTAAATTAACTGACAGCCAAGATGGCGGCCGGCAGCCAGGCAGCTTAAAGCGAACATGAGGCTTGCTTCCTTCATTGAAGGAGGAAGCCAACGTTCCCCGCCTGCGCTGCCGGCCTCTGAGCTGGCAGTTTGAAACTTTGTAACACTTTCAGCCATATATCACATCCTTTGACATGATGTGATGAAAATGGTGTTCTATCTCTGTGGTCTTCCTCTCAAGAACACTTAACCCCAGTCTAATGACCAAAACATTCATCAAATCCGAATTAAGGGACTTTCTACAAAATACCTGATGAGTGCTCCTCAGCACTGTTAAGTTCATTGAAATGAAAGTCTGAGAACCTGTCACAGTCCCGCAGACCCTTAGAAGACATGATGATTGTAATGTATCCAGGATGGGATCTTGGGATAGAAAAAGGACATTCGGTAAAAACTAAGGAAATATGAATGATACGGATGTTAGTTAATAATAATGCATCAACATCAATACATTATTGTGTCATTATATTGATTGTAACTAATATGCTAATGTAAGATGCTAATAATAGGGGAGACTGAGTATGAGATATATGGGAGCTCTACTATCTTTATAATTTTTCTGTAAATCTAGAACTGCTCTAAAATAAACCTTATTTTAAAACAATGCTATATGAAAAGTACTTGGCACTTTGTAAATATTCAGTACATGTGTATTGGCCTGTACTAGTTGTATTATTGGTACAATTTCCCAAACTGAGAGAACAGAATGGCCTCTCTGGCCTGGGAATTCTGTATAGGAACTCCTATTATGGGAATTCTTCCAAATTCCTGTGGAGTTAGTTTCACTCCTGAGAGGGAGTATAGAACATGTTTTTAGAAAGAAAACAAACAGCCTTAAAAAAACACACCAACATCTAGCATCTGGACAAATATAGACTTGCACATCAGAAAGTAGGGAGTGACACATGAGCACAAGCGAATGCTGAAACTGACTCACTTCATAGAAGATAACAGAGATGCCATGAACTGACTGATTAGTCACACCACCCTGCTCTAATTGTGATTACAAAAGCCAAACTGTTTTTATGGGCAACACCCAGTGAGCCAGACTAAACAGGAGGAATTAAGGGGGTTTTTAATAGGAGTGCTAAATGATGACACTAGCCTCTTGCTTCAGAAAACCTACCCCAAAGCAAGCCCAACAGCCTAGAGCAAAGCAGGGTAAATTATTCGGTTTCCAAGAGCTTAAGTAATCAAGTGATTATAAAGCAAGTCCCCGAAGGGAGGCGAGGACTCTGGGAGAACTGGGTTCTGGAAGCAACCAACAAGATGCCAAGGGCGAGACACTGATACAGGCAGGGTGTTTAGTCCTTGCTTTCCAAGAGCTGAGTTCACGTCTTTTTTCTTGCTGATTTTTTAGAAAAGCATTTCTTTTTCTGTAATTCTTTCCTCATTTGGATCTGTTTTTGTATGTTGCCTTAGTTACCATTCACAATTAAGCAAGCAAGCCAACCAAGGAAGTACTAAGTGTAAGAACTTGATAGAAGACAAATGAAAACCATGCATGGGAGTAACTCTCATAATGGTTTTGTTCTGGAGGGATTGGAATTGTTAAATGTAATAACTAGGGTGATGCAACAGGGTTATTTTACTTTAAGCTGTCACCATTAGAACTTTCAGGCATGAAGAACTAAATTCATTTTCCTGCGAGCGAAAGTGGTGGTGATGAAAGGACGTCTCCAAAATAAAAATTGACACATTTTGAGTAACTTTTGTTTATTACGAATAATTATTTTGGAGGCAGTTTATATCATACAAATGACCAGTTTGGTCTTGTAAGGCTCACGTAGCATGTCAACATTTTGATTAATAATCACTGTATCTCACAGTTGTATAGCTTGTTACTTATATTTTAAGGGGTGTTTCACACACTTTATCCTAGTTGTCACCTTGACATCTTTTTCACCTTAGCCCAATTTGACTTAAATCTGAGATATGTAAAACTAGAGCCTTCTAAGAAATGACCCCAGGGTGAAGAATACCATAAGATATTAAAACTATTGAAATAGTTTAAAATATCTGGATTTCAAGAGAAATCTAGAAACCATTGTATCCACGGTCCTCTGGCTTGGCCTCCTTCCTGGATTCCATTCCCAGGTCACGTCAGAAGAGGCTCTTCCATCTTTGCTGGACTTTAGAAGCTTCTTCTAAAACTCACGAAACCCAGACAACATCCCAGATAAAATAAATCGGTATCTCAGGGGTGGAATCCAGGTATCAGTACTTGTAAAGTTTCCAGGTGATTCTAAAATGCAGCCATATTTGAGAACCACAGTCCCAACAGAAGAAGAGACTTTTCAATAAAAAATGAGGTTGTGTGATCCCTCTGGCATACTAAGTTTTGGGGTCATATCATTTCTAGTAATGTCTGAAGAATCATCAGTAAAATTAGACTTTTAAATTCTAATTTTATAGACACGACATACAAGGTTTTCCCCCTATGTGTGCAATAGATTTGGGGTGGTTTAATCCACTTAAAAACTAAATGAGGGACAAGCATTAATGAAACTCATTGGTAAATTAGTTACACGCCATATATTTCAGCCGAGAGAGCAACTTACTTTGTGAATTACTGGACACAGATTGAGGAACAAGTTCTTGAGAAAACATTGACAGTAACTGAGTCACCTGCTATCACAACAAACTGACTTCTCACCTGAGAGACTTTCAAATTCATGAATCTATACTAATAAAAGGATAATATACTAATTAGACCAGTCAACTGGCCATCTTCTGGACATCCAACTTCCTTCCGGATAAAGCCATGGTGGTGGGGACCAAGGCAGAGGCAGTTAGGGGCGATCAGGCAGGCAGGCAGAGGCAGTTAGGGGCGATCAGGCAGGCAGGCAGAGAGGTTAGGGCGATCAGGTAGGCAGGTGAGCTGTTAGGAGCCAGAGGTCCCTGATTGGAGAGGGTGCAAGCTGGGCTGAGGGACTCCCCCACCCCCTGGGCATGAATTTCATGCACGGGGCCTCTAGTAGTAAATACTTTCAAATGAGTTGTAACAAGCGCAAGATATGGATAAACAACTTTGGGGAGACAGTCACTCAAGACCAAATATTTAAAATTCTTCTCTCAATCTATCTCTGACATTGACTCATGCATTTTTCTTTAAGGATTTAGATTTTTGGTGCTTTAGATTTCCCATCTGTAAAATGGACTCTAGGCATCTGTTTCAAGGAGGTATTAAAATTTTATTTATAACGTACTTTGAAGATGAACTATACATGTAATTAAATTCCATGAACATTCCCATAGAGGTTGCTGACGATATGACTGAGTTCATTGTTCTAGCTAGAAGTTTAACTCTCTTTAGCCATATGTTCATGTTCAGCTCTTTGTCTATTCATTGATTCAACAGATATTCAATTGTGATCTACCATGTGTCAATGTGTAGTGGTGAAAACAAATTCCTTGTCCTCATGAAGTTACAATCTTGTGTGGGAAACAGACAACATCAAACAGTTTGGATGAGGAAACTAAATTAAATTCGTGTTAAATTTGTGTTAGTATTTAGGCAGATTCTATGACAATGCTACATAATTTTTTTTTAATCCAGCAAAGTTGCATAGTAAGAAAAAAGTGACTCCTAAATAATAATGACACTGCAATGAGACTCCAAATAAATAGTTTATATTTTCTTTATGATCTCAAACAAGACACTAGATTTATTAAGCTGAAAGATCGTTCAAAAGAACACGGTGAATGCCTTCTATAACTTGACATCTTACAGACTATTGCACTGAACAAGGAAAACATTGAGATGTTTATAATCAAAATAATAAAAAGGATTTAAAAATATTGAATATTTCAGGCAAACCAAAAACTATAAATAATAATATAATGGATAATGCATTTTGATTTAAAAAATAACCCACAATCTATATTTTGATTTCATTTAACAGTTTAACAGCAATACATGCTTATAGCTTTGCTTTTTTTCTTTCTCTTTTTAAATTTAATCAACATACAGCCAAAATTGTTTCATATATACCCAATGACAGATATATCATTATGCTTATAACTACTTCATATGTATCTCTAAAAAGATAAAGATAGTCTTAAAATAAAGAACAATACTTTCTTTATCCAGTCAGTGTTCAAATTTCTCTATAGTCTCATAATTTTTTAATAAAGCAGATTTTCAAAAATTGTGGTAAAAATATACATAACATAAAATTTACCATTTTAACCATTTTCAAGTGTGCAGTTCAGTGGCATTAGTACATTTACATTGTTGTACAACTATCACATCATTCACCTCCTGAATTTTTTCATCTTCCCAATCTGAAACTTCATACCCATTAAACAATTCCTAATTCCTCCCCTTTTCCTTCAGAGTAAGTATGACAATCACCATTCAACGTTCTGTCTTATGAATTTGGCTACTCCAGGTACCTTATATAAACTGAATCATGTAATATCTCTCTTTTTGCGACTGGGCTTATTTCACTAGCATAATGTCTTCAAGGTTTATCCATGTTGTAGCATCTATCAGAATTTCATTTCTTTTTAAGGCCAAATAATATTTCATTGTATGTATATACCACGTTTTGTTTATCCAGTTGTCTCATACTCCTTTTTAACTGTTTTATTTCAGTCTTTGTTTGAAAATCCACTTTATTCTTTGGAAGCAAAGCTGCACATAAAATATGTGGTAGTGGTATTTTTCAAAATTCAAAGAGATGAGAAATCTAAGAATCAAATTACAGAATTTAAACCCTTTTTGAGACCTTTATAGAGCTCTAACAATCCAAAGTTAAATACTTTAAAAATAAAAGCAGACTGTTCTTCACAGTTATGGGGCCAGGCTGTTCTTTGGGTAGTGGATGTGATGTCTGTCAAATGGTGAGACATCACTGCTGAGAGCCCAGGACCACAAGGTGGGCTCCAGGTGCCCAGCTTGACTGGTTGGGAAAGAGGACCGTGTTCTGGCATGTTGATTCAGTGCCCCTGGCAGACACTGCTAGGGTTCATTCCCAGACAGAATTTCCCAATATACCTGAAGTCAGCTTATGGGGCAAGAAGATGCTGTGTGTCATCATTAAGTCACTTCTAATGCAGTGTCTTGAAAGAGTAGGCAATTTTCAGAGAGATTGATGTGAACAGACAATTTGATTATGGATGTCAAACAGGAAATGAAAATATGAAGAATCTGAATTTATTACAGTTAATTATATATTGACTACAGGCCCGGTGCACGAAATTCGTACATGGGGGTGGGGAAGGGTCCCTCAGCCCGGCCTGCGCCCTCTCCCTCTCGCAATCCAGGACCCCTCGGGCAATGTCTGACTGCCAGTTTAGGCCCGATTCCTGCAGGATCGGGCCTAAACTGGCAGTTGGACATCCCTCTCGCAATCCAGGACCGCTGGCTCCTAACCACTCACCTGCCTGCCTGATAGCCCCTAACCACTCTGCCTGCCTGCCTGATCTCCCCTAACTACTCTGCCTGCCTGCCTGATCGCCCCTAACTGCTCGCCTGCCTGCCTGATCACCCTTAACCGCCTCTGCCTTGGCCCCCGCCATGGCAGCTTTGTTCGGAAGGATGTCCAGAAGGTCATTTGGCTGTCCTGTCTAATTAGCATATTATGCTTTTATTATTATAGATGGGGTTGGGGTCTTGGAATTATAGTTCTATGACTTCTCCCAATTTCTTTCCTACCTACTCTTTAAAAACAAAGTCAGTATCAGGATCATATAGTGATAACACTGTGAAAAATCAATCTTAACATATATTCATTTTAAGATATTTTAATTAGATCAACTAGACTAGTACATTGTTTCAAATTTCACATAATGGCAAGATTTCCATCATTGACATCATATATACTAGATCGGTGATTTTCAACCTGTGTGCGTGGCAGGCACACTGGTGTGCTACAAGAATTTTAAAACATGCAATTCCTGACTATTTAGTCAGGGGCACTGACCTCTTCTCCCTTAGATTGTCAAATAAAAAAATGACAACAGTCAACACAACAATAGCCATCTGGTGTGGAGGAATCAAAATTATACCTGTTTTGTCAGATGGACAAAAAATATATTTTTTGGTGTGCCGCAGAATTTTAGTAATTAGTTTACAGGTGCCATGAGATGGAAAAGGTTGAAAATCACTGCACTAGATGGTTAACTACTTTACTAAGTTTTCTGCATTTTGTAGCTCTTGTGCATATTTACATACACAAATCCTTGCTGTAGCAAAACTCCTTGTAAATGAGAAAGGAAATAATGATATTTACTTCACCTGGGAGTCTGACCTTAACAACTTGAAGTTTGAGTAAACCTAATATGGTATAAAATAAAATCTTTTAATAAGGTAAAAAAAACACTATCCAAAATATGCATAAATGGAGAATCGAAGAATATTAACGTTGACTGATATTTAAACATTATATAATTCAGGGGGTCATCATTTCCTTGGAATCATGAATTAAGAATCTGATGAAAGCTATGGATCTTCCCTCGACAAAAATGTATATAATTCTGCTTATAATTTCCATGTTCTTAAACCCTCTGATGCCTATTGCCGGACTCCAAATTAAACATCAGATATAATTCATCCCCCTCCTTTTATGGTTGATGGAACTGAGAATCATGGTGGCTATGCAACGTGCCCATAGCCACCATGTGAGGTAGGGTAGAGAGTTCACTCTAATTGCAAAGTGATTTTTACTACCACTTGGTTATGAAACTTCTAAATAAGAGCTCACTTAACTTAGATGATTAATGTGAGAGGCCCCATTGGCCTAAATGTCTCTCCCTACCGAGCCTCTCACAGTGCCTTCAATTCTCACTCGTGAGGTCTTCTGGTAGCATATTTGTGTTAACGTGAACAAAACATTAAGCACTGGCCTCCATTTAAATGCCAGGAGAAGGCCAACTAGACAATGATATGGGTCACTAGCCCAGATTCTTTCTCTGGGTATTCTCCTTTGGGACTCTGGGTCCCCTTACCTGCCGTTGACCTTGATGCCTTCATGCATTTGCCTACTTTTCCCACATCTGCTCAGTGGAACAAGGAGGTGGGATTAGAGAGATCTGCTGTAAAAGAAAAAGGGGGATGGGGCAGAAAACTCTCCTTAGCAAGATTAAAGTTAAGCAAAGGCAGCATTTTCAGAAATTCATCTGGTTCAAATATTTTTGCAGCTAGAAGTCAGAGTTCTGGAAATGTTTTATATTGTAATACTAGGCAACCATATTCTCAGCATTGTTGGAATGTATTTAGAAGTCTCCAGTTTTATAAGTCTCATGCAATTAACTTGGAGAAACTTGCACATGTTGGATAAGGGCTGTGTATAAGGCCAAGAAGAAAGCTTCTTAGACTGATATTCCAGGAAAGATGGGATTTCCTTTTGAACATACTTGCCCTCAAACAAATCAGAAATTGAAATACAGAAATACTAGTATATTAAATATAACTAAATATAACAAGTGCTTTTTGTGATTGCTTGAACAAAGATGTATTTGTCTGCATGACTTTCTTTTGAAATATGATTTATTCTAATGATAAAGATGACACCTATTATAGAAAATGTGGAAAACAAGAAAAAAAATTGTAATTTCACTAAGCAGCGATAAAAACCACTGACAATTTGATGCATGTATTTTCAGGTTTTTTTCAATGAATGTACATTTAAACACACACATATACATACATATCCCAATGTATGTATCTATTTCCATCAGAAGCTAAAGAAAATGATGGTGAAGTCATTTTTCCCCACCAAATATCTTTCTATGTGGATCTCTATTTCTTTAAAACAATTCCCAGGGTAAACATTTCTTTAGGATTTTCCCACTTCTTATTAAATCCTCTACACAGAGTTGTACCAATACATTCTTGCCGTAATACCTGGGAGTGCTCCTTTTCCTTATTCTCCTATTAATATTCTTGAGTCTGCAGGCCGACGCTCTATCCACTGAGATCTTTCTGTGTGGATCTCTATTTCTTTAGAACAATTCCCAGGGTAGACATTTCTTTAGGATTTTCCTGCTTCTTATTAAATGCTCTACACAGAGTTGTACCAACCCATTCTGCTGTAATACCTGGGAGTGCCCCTTTTCCTTATTCTTCTATTAATATTCTATGTTTAAATTTTTTTTATTTTCATTGTATCTATATTGGATGATGGATGCTAACTATAATATTCTATATTTAATTTTTTTCTTTTCATTGTATCTATATTGGATGATGGATGCTAACTAAACTTTTTGCAATCATCATATCACAATATATATATATGTCAAACTATTACACTGGACACCTGAAACTTAAATAGAGATGTATGTCAATTATATTTCAATATAACTAGGAAAAATAAAGCTTAGTAGCTATATAAAAAAATCGATGCCACCTTGGTCAGCCTGGCTCAGTTGGTTGAGCATCATCCCATGCACCAAAAGAGATTAAAAAAAAAAAAAGAAATCTATGCCGCCTTGGTCAGCATGGCTCATTGGTTGATCATGCATCAAAAGGTAACGGGTCTGATTCCCTGTCAGGGCACATATCCAGGTGTGGTTCGATCATGGGTTGCATATCACATCAATGTTTCTCTTTCTCTCTCTCTCTTCCTTCCTCTCTCTATAAATCACTTTTAAAAAAAAAGAATGAAAGTTTTTTAAAAAATCTACTCTAACTTGATGGGCTGAATATGGTATCCTACGTTAAAGTCATTATTTTGATTACTCTTGAGATGAGACTATTTTTTATATATTTATTATCAATCTCTATTTCTTCTACTATAAATTGTTTTCCATGCGTGCTTTTTAAAAATTGTGGTACTTATCATTTGCAAGCTATGGGTTTGATTCCCTGTCAGGGCACATATCCAGGTGTGGTTCAATCATGGGTAGCATATCACATTGATGTTTCTCTTTCTCTCTCTCTCTCTTCCTCTCTCTATAAATCACTTTTAAAAAAAAGAATGAAAGTTTTTTAAAAATCTACTCTAACTTGATGAGCTAAATATGGTATCCTACTTTAAGGTCATTACTTTGATTACTCTTGAGATGAGACTATTTTGTATATATTTATTATCTATCTCTATTTCTTCTACTATAAATTGTTTTCCATGCATGCTTTTTAAAAATTGTGGTACTTATCATTTGCAAGCTGATTTATAAAAATTCCTTATATAACTTAAGTATAAACCCTATGTTTTAGGAATTGAAAATATTTCCACCACTACTTTCTTTAGCTTCTGATGGCACTTTCTCCCCTTAATGTATCATGAAATGTTACTTGTGCCTCAAATAGATTTGAGCTGAACTGCTTGCAATGGGGCAGGCCTCATCACATTTATCTGGTGGGACAAGTAGAGGGGACTATGGAGGGTTTGGGGTGTTAAAGCTGAAGTTCTGGAGTTGAAGTTCTCAGCACCTCTGGTTTCTCCCAGATATTCCCATTCTAATCGCTGAAATGATACATTTTCTCAATAAACACACCAATTTTCATTTCAAAAACGGCTACAATACAGAAGCTGGTTGTATTTATTTGTGTCTTTTTAGATACCTCTTGGACTAACTTGGAGCAGTCTCAGGTGGGTGGCTATAGTCAGAAAGGCTTCTGGAACATAATTATTTTTTTTTATTCCTCACCTGAGGATAAGTTTTTATTGATTTTTTTTTATTCACCTGAGGATAAGTTTTTATTGATTTTAGAAAGAGAGCAAGAAACATCAATGTGAGAGAGAAACATTGATACATTGCCTCCTATACTGGGGGTTGAACCAGCAACTTAGGTATGTGCCCTGACCAGGAATGGAACCTGGTGTATGGGACAATGTTCCAAACAACTGAGCCACCGGGCCAGGGCCATAATTGTATTCTTACCCTCCTTTTCTGTCTATTTTTAGCTGGGCAACCTTGGCCTGAAGCTTCTCTTTTTCTTGATCTTATTGCATTTGCTTGAGGCTGCAAAAAATGAACATACTTTAACATATGTATGTTCTTTGCTTCCAGGACTACCCACTTCTCGCTTCATCTACTATGACATAACCATTTTCTTTGATGGTCTGTAAATTGCAAACTCGCTTCCATATAATTTCTATGCTAAGATTCTTTTGGTTTCAAAGGAGAGAACCCAACTCAAGGGTGCTCTAGCAAAAGCAGAGGATTTATTACAAGTCTTTGGGGCAGGAAATATAGCTAAGACTCAAGGGTACTAGGCAAGAAACCAAAATGTTGGAAATCCAAGAAACATGCTCTCACGCTCATATCTGCTATCATGTCATATCCGCCTTTTCCTTTCTTGGTGGACTGGATTTCCTCTGCTCCCAAGTTCCTGTGATGGTCTAGGGATAGCTGCTCATGGTCTCCAACTTAACGGAGAAAGACTGACTTTCCTACTCTCAGTCCTGAAGGGTAGCAGGACATGCCACCGCAGAATAGGCCATGTTGGCATAGGATTACGTTGAGCCTGAAGGCTATTGAGAAGAAGCAGATATAAGAAAAGTACCCTGCCTTCCCCTTATTTGCCTAAAAGCAGACATACATTTTCAAAGGTCTCCCTACTTCCTACTCTACCAGGAAAGACAAAATTTAATCCCTGGAGGCAACTTTAGACCCTTAACAAAGGCAGTAATTTATGTGCATAACCCTCCACCATGCCCCAAGACTGGCCTCCCCCACACTTTCTTATGGTGTCAGCTGAAATTGCCCTATAAGCCAGCGTTCTAATTACTCATTTCCCCCTGATTATCTCCATGTATACTTGAGGTATGCGTGTTAATAAACTTCTGTTTGTTTTTCTCTTATAAATCTGTCTTTTATCACAGGAGTTTAGAGGGAGATTTTTCTTTCCCTACAATCCTAAATCTAAAATTCTAAGATAGGAACTTTGGTCCAGTTTTAATGAAGTGCCTACCTTGGGCACCGAGAGTAGGCGTGTGAGGTCACATTGTCCACATGGCTGTGGGAACCCACTGCTCGGTGGACAGGGGGCAGCTAAAGGGTCTGCTGTGAATTTACACAGATACAAACAGTACGCATCACATTAACTGTATTTTTAAAGATCCTCCCCTATAACTTCTAGCATAGATGTAATGTTACATGCCAGGAAATGTAAAAATAAATGAAAACTATCCATTTTAGGAATATCATCTGCAAGAAAGTAACCACTGAAATTTAAGAAAAAACCTGAGAACCTGGTCCTAGTTAATTCCGTTGTTTTGCAGAGACAAAGCCTCTGACACAACAATGACAAGCGGGAGGGGTAGGTGACTATGCCCAGTGTCGCATGGAACCTGAAGAGTAGCTGAATGCCACCCAGAATACGACTGTAGGAGTTCAGGACGAGCCACTTCAAAACATGCTGCTTGGGCATATTGATTTCTCTGAGCTGTAAGCACTTAAGAAACAGCAGATGCAGGGAGAGGCTTTCTCTCAGCTCCCTCATCTGCCTAAAGATCTTCCAAAATGAACTGGGTTGTCACAGATCCCTCCCCAGGAGTGTCATCAACCAGGGAGGACTGACTCATGCCAGGAGAAGAGGCTAGAAATGGACATCACACCCAGACACACCTGTCACAAAGGATCATACTGCCCATCTATTCTGCTCAGGACCCATGCATCTCTCCTAAAAAAAAAACTTTACTCTCCCACAAGAGGCCTATATCTCTCTCCGCTGTCCTAGTAGCATGGTATTTCACCTGATTCTAAGTCACCCCGGGGAGCTAGCCACTTATCCCTGGGTATCTCCCATGTGTACATGAGTTATACATGTTAATAAACTTGTTTGTGTTTCTCTTATTGATCTGTCTTTCATTACAGAGGTCTTAGCCAAGAATTCAGAAGGGTAGAGGGAAAATTATTTTTTTTCTCTCCTACAAACCTAAACTTCTAGTATAAGGCTCCTATAATTTCTCCAGTTTACTTTGGGAAATATTTTCACTTAATTTGTACATCATGTTAAACTTATTTTTTTTAAATGTATTTTAAAAGCCAAAGGAAGGGAAAAGTAATACATTCAATATTCTGTACTTAGAACAAAACCCAAACTACTAATATATAAACTTAATATTCTTAGCTTTGAAAATGTAGTGTTAATATAATTGTATTCAAGAACAACCACACCCTCGGAACAATGTTACCTTGCAGAGGAAGGGAAGGGCTTCCTCAAATTGTTTTTACACCTGAAGAGCCACTGTAGTTAGGGAACAAAGGAACAAAGACGAGGAGTCGCTGGTGACTTCATCAGGACTTCCATTCAACCTGCTCTGACAATTCTGAACTAGACTAATTTAGGAGAGGACCATAGCTTTTGAGACGGCCTTAATATCAGATGAATGCTTTATTTTTACACCTTGATGACGAGAACAGAGACAGAAGCTTTCCCAAGTAGAGAGTCTCGTATTTAGCCATCCTGCACAGGCCTCCTATAAATATTAGATGAATTTATAACGAAGTTATGACCAACCATGATCCTTAGATAACATCTCACCATGAACCCTTCTCTCAAGCCATCTCACTATTTCGTAGGATGTAGAGTATGTAGGGGATCAGGTTTTATTGTTCTATTCTGCAGAATTTTAAGCAGAAAGTTTTCTTTTTTGGGTACAAGAGTAATAAATATCGTGAATAACATCCACGGTAACTTTGCCTTTCCTTTTAATAACTACAATACTAATCAAAATTATAGTTCTTCGGGAAGACCTCACATTTTTTATCTTATGCTCTGCTTCATGATGTGTGTTATATGACGCCACCAAAGACTTTGTTTTTATTTTACAAATGCCTCAAGATTTTGTTTTTGTTTTTAAATATATTTTATTGATTTTTTACAGAGAGGAAGGGAGAGGGATAGAGAGTTAGAAACATCGATGAGAGAGAAACATCGATCAGCTGCCTCCTGCACACCCCCCATCAGGGATGTGCCCGCAACCAAGGTACATGCCTTTGACCGGAATCGAACCCGGGACCCTTCAGTCCACAGGCCGACGCTCTATCCAGTGAGCCAAACCGGTCAGGGCTTGTTTTTATTTTTGAAAGAAGGATACAATATCACTGTCCCATTCATTTAAAAGCTAACAGTTGTGGATGAAAGGGGCCACATGCTAACCTGATAAGCTCAGGGAAGGCCTGCATGCAGTCTTGCAAACTCAAAGACCTAGCATAACCACAAAGGATGGTCTGAAACTAAAACTTTAACTAAAAGCAGTTACGGTGGGTAGTCACCACCTAGGCCTGTATCTTCCCTGACAAGGTCAACCTTTACTTTAACTTATTGTCTTTTTGCATCTACGATAACAAAAAGTATCATTGAAATGTCAGGGTAACTTGAAACTTCCCTTTTTCTGGACCCCTCAGGACACAACCAAATGCCCTGGGTGCCAGGGTAGATACCACAAATTCCTTCATTGTTACTGTTGTTATGAAAATCGTTGACTGTTAGCTATCCTGCACCACCTACGTATGTGTCTGTCATTTTACTCTTTATCCAATCCCAGAGGATTCCCTGCTTTGCTTTTTCCCGCCTCTCTATTCTAGCACCAATGAACCCACTGATGTCTCCTCCTTTGATTGCAACGTTTAAAAATAGATGAAAGCCCTAACCGATTTGGCTCAGTGGATAGAGCATTGGCCTGCGGACTGAAGGGTCCCAGGTTCAATTCCAGTCAAGGGCCTGTGCCTTGGTTGTGCACACATCCCCAGAAGGGGGTGTGCAAGAGGCAGCTGAATCATGTTTCTAACTCACTATCCCTCTCCCTTCCTCTCTGTAAAGAAATCAATAAAATATATTTTTTTAAAAATAGATGAAAGCCGCCATTCTCTGGAGCATTATCCCAAACCCAGCAATTGTCAAGAGTTTGGCTAAAATAAACTCACAAAAATTCTTTATAGATTTGAAAGTTTTTACATTAACACAGTTGCCTAAGTCAGTTTTCAAAAATGGAAAATATTTTTCAAAACTGTGCAGGCAGAAGGAAGGTCTTAAACCGTATGCCTCACTGTCACCAAATCTCATGAGCAAACCTTCCATTTCAGACAAGGGCCCCCTTGCACACTGCCCATGCCACCCATGGAGGGTGAGACCATCTGGGCGAGCTCACCATGCCATGGAGCGGCCAGGTGTGCCAGAGTGGCACCTGTCCTCTTTCACGAAGACACATATGGTGGCTCCCTGTGCATGGCTTATCTCCAGCGTGAGGCACCAAGGGGAGGGAGGGCATCATCTCTGCTCCCGATGCTCCCCCTTCCCTCCTGAACCTGCTCCATCTCAGAGTGCCAAGTGTGCTATAGTTAGCGTCATGTGTCATAACTATTTCACAGATGTTTCTCATTGATCTTTCACTGGAATGTTTTCTCTCTCTCAGGAGAAAAATGTTTGCAACAGGATTGGGGTTGCAAATGGTCGAAGGTTAGGTGGGGGGCAAGGGGACACTGTTACTTACAGACCCCCAGGGCACATTCTGGAATTCTTGGTGACATTGCGGCCAATCCTTGGGCCTTCAGTGAATGGCCTGGATCCTGCGTAGCTTCAGCTGCGAGTCCTTCCAACGGATGCTAAAAATACACTGCAGTTTATTTTCCTCAGTAGGGAGCATATGTGTTCCCACTTGACCTGGAAACACAAAGAGAGCCAATGTTAAATCGAATGCTGCCCAGTCCAAGATAAATTTGTGTTCTGTAGTGCAGGGGAGAGAAAAAACAACAGACATTGGGACAGTGTTGCCTTTGCTCTCAGGGGGAGTCAGTGTCTTGAACACATTTTTTACGCTCCCTGTTGGTAGTTAAGTGACCACTCTCAGACTTCTTAGCCAGTGCTGATATGAACTGGCTCTCATTCAAATTGGACGGTGAGTCCAAGGCAGATTTATTAAATTTTGGGAAAGAAGAGTGAGGAAAGCTTTCTTTCTCCTTTTTTTTTTTTTTTTTAAATCTTCTTAAAAGACAGAATCTAAAATGCCCTCTAATTGAAGAACAGATTTTTATGGACACTTGTACTTATCCCTTTTTCCTTCAAATAAGCAAACAAAGAAGCAAATCAAACAATTTATCAACAAATGGCAGAAAAATTCTGTTTTAATAACAGATGTTAAACCTAGTTCTTGTGTTTGGGGCTGTTTAATCTTTGGGTGGCCCAATATTCTTCATACATATTATACGAGCAGAGTTCATTTTAACTGTAGATGGGTGTCTTCCCTGCTTTCAGCTGGTACCACTTTTCTGCAGCTTCAAATACTCAGTTGGCTGACAATGAACTTAGACCCATTCCTCTCCACCCCCCACCACACCCCCAAGAAACAGCACAGTGATTAAAACAGGAGGTTTGGACTCCGCCTTGTTGTGAGCCTGGATTCTGCCACTCAGTAGCTCCGTTTTCATTTTTCTCCGTTTGTAAAATGGGATACTAATGGGACCTGCTATTCAAGGCTGTTGTGCAGGTTAAAGGAAACACTGCACGAAGAGCATACAGCACGGAGCCTGAGTTCACAGGAAGCCTTCATGCATGTTAGCTATTATTGCTGGTGATTATTCTTAGATAGCTCAGCCATCCCAATATCCAGAGTTTAGAGGACATGACCTTGAAGATCCCTGTGGTTAAACTGCCCTCTGTCAAATTTGGCTTTATTTTTATTTCTAATCCTCTTCTTCAGAACAGGCCTAAAACCTTTTAAATCAGTGGTTCTCAACCTTCCTAATGCCGCGACCCTTTAATACAGTTCCTCATGTTGTGGTGACCCCCAATTTCATTGTTACAAATTGAACATAATTAAAGCATAGTGATTAATCACAAAAACAATATGTAATTATATATGTGTTTTCCGATGGTCTTAGGCGACCCCTGTGAAAGGGTTGTTCGACCCCTCAAGGGGTCGCGACCCACAGGTTGAGAACCGCTGTTTTAGAGGGACGTGCCTTCTTCCTCCTCTTCCTACCTTTCCCTTGATTTCCTACACATTCATCTAACAAAATCAAAACAAAAAAGGTTAAAATCAAGGAGGTGAGAAAGTTTCCAAGGGAAGTTACTTAACATTTTCAATGATGGGAGGTCAAGGAAGGAAGAAGCGTGAGTGAACCTTCTAGAGAGCAATGTGCTGGCTACTGGGGATAGAAGCCAGATTATTGGGTCCAAGAAGAGAACCAGTGGAGACAACCAGACTGGCCCCAGACCACTTATGTAAGATATTTGACAGAGAAAGGAAGTAAGGCAATGAGACAGTAGCTAGAAGGTTAGCAAGGTCAAGAAAAAAATCTGTCAAGATGGAAGAAAGTCAAGTATGTTGAAGGCAGAACAAAATAAATAAGGGATGACAGCTTCCTTGGAGCTTGTTGCTAGTCTACCAAGGAGGGACAGCAGAGTACCCTGGCTGCCTGGGGCCATCCACACTATTATGGACAGGTAATGAATGGAAGACTAATGCCCACAATGCATAGGATCCTCCCCTATAGCTCAAGACCCAACCTCTTCACACATGTTCTCCCCTAGAAGACTTGTGCCCTAACAGAGGGTCTGCACTCTGGGAGAAAGCCAATGTGCCTGAGATATTACTGCAATCATAGGGCAGTGGCTAAAATGAAAACAGCCTCAGAGTAAGAAAAACAGGAAAAATGAAAAGATTTGGGAGCCTGGCTGGCATGGCTGCTCAGTGGTTGAGTGTAGGTAGACCTATGAACCAGGAGGTTGCTGTTTGATTCCTGGTCATACCTGGGTGGTGGACTAGATCCTCAGTAGGGGGATATTTCTATCTCTCTCTCCCTCTTCCTTCCTCTCTGAAATATATAAAAATATATTGAAAAGATTTGGGAAAGTTTATAGATGAGGACCATGGCATTGGATAGATATCCAAGGCAAGAAAACTTCGAATAATCGGCATCCTTCTTTTCCAAACTGAGATGATCATTTTTTGCTTTTAAGAAGATCCTGACATGTGCAGGGCCACGGGCTTTGGGCAAGACTACACATGAAGGTCCATATACCATATGTTTAAATCCTATCTAATAAAAGAGTAATATGCAAATTGACCATCACTCCAATACACAAGATGGCCTCCACAAGATGGCTGGCAGAGGAGAGCAGTGAGGGGGGACCAGGCCTGCAGGGGAGGGCAGTTGGGAGGGACCAAGCCTGCAAGGGAGGGCAGTTGGGGGCAATCAGGCCTGCGGGGGAGGGCAATTGGGAGTGACTGGGCTGGCAGGGGAGGGCAGTTTGGGGGGACCAGGCCTGCAGGGGAGGGCAGTTAGGGGTGACCAGGCCGGCAGGGGAGGGAAGTTAAGGGAGACCATGCCAGCAGGGGAGGGCAGTTAGGGGTGACCAGGCTGGCAGGGGAGGGCAGTTAGGGGCAATTGGGCCAGTAGGGGAGCAGTTAGGCATCAATCAGGCTGGCAGGGGAATGGTTAGGGGGTGATCAGGCTGGCAGACAGAAGCGGTTAGGGCCAATCAGGCAGGCAGGCAGGCAGGCGAGTGGTTGGGTGCCAGCAGTCCTGGGTTGGGAGAGGGATGTCCCAGATTGGAGCGGTGCAGGCTGGGGTGAGGGACACCCCCCCCCCCGCAGGAATTTCGTGCACCAGGCCTCTAGTGTGCTATATCGGGCTAGCAAATGTGGTCCTCTCATCCCAACCTGGGCTCCATCGAGCACAATGAGGAGCCTGTGGGCACAGAGGGACAGTCAACTCCATCCATACCCCATAGGCCTCAAATGGCCACGTAACTCCCGAATGGCTCTGAAAGACTGCCCGGCCTCCTACAAGCAGGCTTGAGGCTGTTTGCACAGGCATTTCCGTGTCCTTCACGCCAAGCATGTTCTAGAAGGCTGAAGGGGCTTTCCCATCCTGCCCCTCAGCCCATCAGAAATTTTACCACAAGGGGTGGGATGTGGCAAGAGGAGGACCAGGTTGGGAGCCCAGAGCAGGATCCTTCTTGTCTGGATTTAAGAGCCACACTGGGCACATTGCATTCTCCTGATCTACCTTTCAAAGAACAAACTCTCAGATAAGTCTTTTTACCACAAGACTTCCGACCACATTGACGGAAACAGCACATAGCAGGCCGAGGGGCTCAAAAAGAATATTGCTGCTGAGCAAACTCATTCACACCAGGCTTCGGTGCTTCAGTGAGGGCCCAGAGTGGCCACAAACAGGGTGTTGTCTGGTCCTAGCCGGCTCTCTTTATTAGATAAAGCAAATGACACATTATCTCCTGACAGAGGAAGAGCACAATTTTCAGAGACATTTAAAATGGAAGTGTAATTTTCTGATGGCTTCTAAAGGGGAACAGCTTAGCACAGGTTATTTAGATCTAATCCAAACCACTCTAGGACTTCAATTTAGCCATTTAAGGTAGGAAGCCGATGCCTTCTCCCATCTCCTGCCGCAGGCTGAGGTTCAGATTGGAGTTAGATGCACCAGAGGATGGAGATTTGGGGTCTGACCACAAAGTTGATGCCTTCAGGGGAATCATTCCACAAGGGGGAGTTGACACACCTGACTCTACCCTTTACCTGGCTGGGAACTTGCTTCATGTCTTGGTCCTGTTTCCTT